GTGAACTGCTGTATGGAAAGTGAATTTGCTCTGTAAATCTTCACCCAAATAAAAACAAATAAATTTAAAAAAATAAATAAAAATAAATTTTAAAGTATAGAATAGTCACTTAAAATTCCAATTCTTGGGACTAGGTAGATTTCTAACCAGGGAATATTCCAGTTTCTAGAAATGTTCTGTATTCCCATTAATAAACAAGGTGATGCTTACCTCATTGGATTTTTTTTTAATCTGACATGTTTTTATGAATTGGAAATGTATAATTCAGCATTGACTAGAAAACTTCACCTTTGGTACCCATGTCATCCAGAAGCCTACATGACAGTGTCCATCAGAAGGAGAATTATCCAGGTCTGATGTGCGAGGGGAGCACCTCTTGAGCCATTGGGCTTCACTGAAGGATTTTGAAGTCAGCTTCTTTTTAATAACTTTTGTGGCTTTTGTAGTATCTGGTATATGAATATGTGCATAAGTATAGTTAATAAAGCAGATATTTAAAACCAATAATTTATTATTAGAGTTATCCATCTCTAAAACATGAAGTATTAGAAATATTAAGAAGAAGTGACTTCCTTTTGGAGGTAAATGAAATACAATTGTATATCTGTACAGTAGATATTATCTTAAGGAGAGAGAAACATATATGTAAAATAAAATCTTACAGTAAGGTTTTTTAAACAATAATTATGATGTAACTGTTGGCATTATGGGTCTTGTTCTTTTTTCTTTTTTGTTCAAAATTTTCTTTAGTGTGCATTGCTGTTATAATGGAAAGACTACATAAAAGAGCATATGTAATTTTAAAACCAGTTAAGCCAGGCATTTAAAAACAACAGTTTGGCAGTATATAATGAAAGCTGTAAATATTTGTATAACTTAAATATTTTTTGCTGCTGCAGCTTTTTGTTTAAGATAGTAATAATTCCTTTTAAAATCTTGCATAAATTATCCTCTATGCAAAAAAAAAAGATAAAAAATACTTCATGCACATAGATTCATAGTAAAGTTACTTTTAGTAATAGAAAAACTGTAAGCAACACAGTTGACAAACACTGTATTCTTGGATATATGAAAAAGCAAAAACTAAACCCACTGCTGTTGAGTCGGTCACGACTCATAGTGACCCCTCCTTGGGTTTCCAAGGCAGTATCTCTAAGGAGGTGGATTGCCCAATCTTCCTTTCGAAGAGTGGCTGGTGGATTTAAACTGCCAGCCTTCTGGTATTTTAATATGAATATTTAAAATGTTTATGATGATTATATAAACTGGAAAACAAGTAATCTGCAGAGTATAAAACAGATCATTGTATCTGCACTGTATGTATATGTAAAATAAAATCTTACAATAAGTATTTTTAACAATAATTATGAAGTAACTGTTGGAATTATGGGTCTTGTTCTTTTTTTCTTTTTTTGTTCAAAATTTTCTTTAGTGTGCATTTCTGTTATAATGGAAAGACTACTTTTCAAAAATTTTTAAAATTTTCATAACAATAGAAACCTTTGAAGTTTGAAGGAGATACATTTAGGCATATGAAGTGTTACAAATTTACACAGTAGGTAATTTATATTCGTGGAACTATTAACCTCTGATTTTGTGCAAGCTGGAAATAGAAATAGGTTCAAGAAGATTTTGTTATGTTCCTGGACAAGAAACAAAAAATGAAATGATCAAACAACTTGTGAATATTGCAGGTCATATTCTGACCTTTCATCTTTGATTCAAGATCAACATATTCAAGAGTAACACACCCCTTGGTGTGTACAAGTCAGAAGCAACATAATATCAATGCCTGTTATTTATGTACAATACTAGTTTGTGCTAGACCCTATGATAAGTGTTACTTTACTGTGATAAATTATGTTACTTATGGTCTACATTTTTTAAACTGAAGAGTACAAGACAGATCAAGGCTAAACAGCCATTTAGATCACACAGCTAGTAAATCAGTGTCAGGATTTAATCCAGCCATTTCTGAGTCCAGAAGCCCAGGATCTTAAACACCTCACAAATATGCTACTTGCATATTTGATTATACAGCATTTCTTGTGTCCCTGTGATTTTATTTATGAAGGGCCACAGGGAAATTTTCTTCAGTTCTTGTTTTATGTTTATTGCAGTATAGCTTATTTTAATAGCCCTGGTGGGGTAATAAGGAGCTTTGCTGGTGTAGAACTCATGGTCATCAAGTCGATTCTGACTCATAGCAACCCCCTTTGGGTTTCCGAGGTGGTATTTCTTTACAGAAGCATATTGCCCTGTCTTCCTTCCACAGAGGGTCTGGTGGGTTTGAACCACAACTTTTTTGGTTAGCAGTCAAATGCCTTAGGCACTGTGCCACCAGAGCTCCTTGCTGGCATAGTGGATAAGGCATTTGGCTGCTGACCAGAAGATTAGCAGTTCAAACCCACCCATGGCTCCATGGAAGGAAGATGGGGCAATCTATTTCTGTAGATTTATAGCCTCAGAAACCCAATGGGGGTCACTATGAGTCAGAATCAACTTGATGGCAGTGAGGTTGTTTTGTTTTGTTTTTTGGTGGGGCAGTGGCTAAAGCTCTTGGCTGCTAACCAATAGGTCGGTGGTTGGAACCCCCCAGCTGCTCAGTGGGAGAAAGATGTGGCAGTCTGCTTCTGTAAAGATTTACAATCTTGAAAACACTATGGGGCAATTCCACCCTGTCCTGAAGGGTTGCTGTGAGTCAGAATCAACTTGATGGCAGAGCATTTGGGTTTTTTGGTTATGATAGGTGGGCTCAAGTATAGTGTAGTGGTAGAGAATTTGCCAAATTATCTGAGTGCCTGTGCTGCAAAGAGTAAAACAAACAATTGTGCTGGTTGTGTTATTGTATTTGTTTTGGTTTTGTAAGCGTTGAAGTACTGGATTCACTTGGCCAGTGTAAATAAGTGTGTTGCATGATGTAATTCCTCAATTCCCAATTTTCCCTTCATGGAAATGTTCTCAGTCTAAATCACAAGGTAATACGACATGCAGCTGGTGTTGCTGCTGCTGCTTTTTGTTATTAGTTTTCTTAATGTTTTGAAGAAACTTTTTTCTACAAAGGGTTGAAAGAATCTTTGCCTGTGGAAATTCCAAAGGAAGATGCCTTTTGAAATCTCAGTCTTAAAGAGTAAAATGTATTTCTAAAGTATATGACAGCTTTTAATTTGAACCATTCTGTAGAACAACCTTTCTCCCAGTGTTCCCTAGGCACAGTAACCTTGGAAGTTGGAAGAATCAAAACTGGTCCATTTCATTCTGAGAGGCGGCCGTCTCAAAGTAGCCAGGTAAGTCACTGTGCAGTTGTCAATGTGATGCAGCTTCCTTGTCACAAGGCATTCACTGAAGGCCGTGACCATGGGTCTGTCAAGGTCACGTACACACACCCTGGCCCTCTGCATCCTCTGCTTTCTCTGGAGCAGATCTCAACATTCTTGTCCACAAGAGATCCAACTCCATCATGCTCCAACATCACTTGATAGATATGCTATTGAAAATTTTATAAAGGATTGCCAGAGGATTAGGTACAAGACACAATGCATTCTAAACCCCAAATGTCCCTAGTCAGTATCTCTCCTGCCATTCTCCCTGGTAGCTTTCCAATTAACACTTCTCCATTGACCTTTCCTCCCTATAGCAACTAAATAAATCCCCTTCATTGTCAGGAATGATTCAGTATTGCCCTCAGTTTGGATAACCCAACACGGCACAACACAAACTGAATGGGTGAATGGCCACTTTCTGTTATTTTATAAGCCTGTTCTTTAGAGGGCCCCCGCACAACAGCCAGGCTTCAGGGCCAAGTGAAACTGTGAGGAACCACAGTTTTTACTTGAGAGTTTTCGAATGTTAATCTTTAGTATAACAGGCTCCAGAACAAATATGCTCCTAAAACTCAGACTACATAGCGAAGGCAAACATTCTTGGACAGGCTGACCAAAATTCGATAGTCAGTTGAATAAAAAAATAACCAATCAGGTGTTTATCATTCAGTTTCAATCTGATGAGGAGCATTCATTTTTCTGACTTCTATTTAGACTTTAATATTAAGATTTTCAAACTTCTATTGATTTTTGCTAGGTATCTTAGTGTTTTGCGGGTAGGTGTCCTAATGAACTCATACCATTATTAAATAAGTATTAATATATCTGTTGCAGTGATATTCTTCTAATGTTTAATGATTAAGTCTCTTTGGGGATGATTTTTAAATTAGCTAATAAGTTCACTCTAAATTAGGCTAATTTTTAGACTTTTGTCAAATATGAATATTCTAATTTAGATGAGGATTTACATGGTTAAGCCAGTATAAAAATATTCCAGTTATTGCAAGGCCTTGCAGTTGCACTACTTTATTTGTGCCTGGGTAGAAACTCACTTCAGCATATGAAGTTATTGTAAGTTGTAATAAGACTGGGATGTAGATTATAGAAGAAAAGACAATGGTGTTTGGAAGTGGAAATTATAGAATTAAGACATGTCCCTGATGTATTGTAAACAACTCTAAAATTTCCACTTGGGAACTGGCTAATTAATTTTAGATGCTAATAGTTGTTTTGTGTTTGTTTATAAGCTTTTTATTTTGAAATAATTGTAAACCCACAGGAAGTTGCAGAAATTGCGCAGAAAGTGCTGTGTACCCTCCCCTAGCCTCCTCTACTGGTACCATCTTACATCGCTAAGATACTATCAAAAGCAGGAAATGGCATTGGTACAGTGTTTGCTTTTAATAGCTATTTCTTAGCTAGCTCTGTTACTCTGATATGTGGAAACAAGCTTTGATAATAATAATTGAAGCTGAGAAATTCATTTTTTTCATAAGGAAATGATTGTTGATGGGAACTATTCAGTTTTGTTTCATAGGGGTTATAATGGCTGCTGTGAAAAAATGATTCAATTACTTAGTCAGTAAACATATACTCTGTGTGAGCTAAATGCTAGGTACTGTGGCAGCAGCTTAGCATATAAAAGTAAATCTAACACACTTATAGTCCAAGTAGAGAAAACAGGCACCCCAGGTGTATGTCACCATGCATCGGTATTCTGCTAGAAGCAAGACCTGGTTGCTTGGATTGCTGTATAGATGCAGAATCATGATTTCAGATGCAGTCTCTGAACTGAATCAGTCTTAACAGTCAGCCAAGCAATTCTGAGAAGTGTGTTCAGGAGAGAGGAACATATACAAAGACTCAAGAGCTTGAGAAAGGATGGTCCACTCAGTGAATTACATGTAGCTCAGAGTTACTGAAGAGTACAGTTTGAGATGTGGAAGAACAAGAGTTGACAGGGACAGGTAAGCAAGGTGCAGCTCTTGAATAGCCTATAAGTCATTCTTTTCAGCTATAATTTTTTTCTCATAAGTCAACAGTTAGCTGCACTATTAAAGGGGGGGAACCCCCACTTTGTTACTAATTGCATGTTAAAAATCAGCATGAATTCAGTTGCCATCTGGAAGTGGACCCAGACTTCACCTTCCCACATCTCTATTCACCAGCCACTTTTGTGACACTTCCTCCCTCAGCAAAATCACCCAGAGTTAGATAAAACTATTCCCAGCCACCTTGAACTAAATCAGAGTCTCATTGCTCCTTTATGGGTTTGTTAATTCTCTGTAACAGCTTACAAAAGTCACAGTTACTATTACCTATACTTAAGGAGCTCTGGTGATGCAGTGAATGAAAAGGTGTAGTTATTAGGGCATTTGGCTGCTAACCAAAAGTCGGTAGTTCAAGCCCACCAGCTCTGTAGTAGTCTGCTTCTTTAAAGATTTACAGCCTTAGAAATGTACTAGGGGTCACTATTAGTCAGAATCTACTCAATGGCAGTAAGTTTGTGCTCTTTTTTATTTTTTTGGTATTACCTATACTTACGGTTATTCATTTATTGTAACCAGAAAGGATTCAAAGGAAGACACATGTCAGTCAGTGTCTGGGGGAGGTCATGGCACCTCTCCATTGTCCCCAGGGACATGCCATTCTCAGTGGTGCATGGATGTTCTCACCAATTCAGGAAGCCCAGAAAGAGGAAACTAACTCCAAGGTTCAAAGTCCCTTGGTCATTGGGACCTTAAAGCATATGTATGACTCAATGAGGATGCATGATTCACTGTATCCTGTCCCTCTCCCTTCCTGAGGCCTGTTGCCAGGAGGGGCATGTATAGCCCCTACTCATTTGCATTTGCTTAAGTGTTGCCTGGCTGTGTTAGAAAACAAAAGCATCTTAATTGCTCCAGAGATTCCAAGATGCTGCAGTTAGGGTTTGGCTGCTAAAAGAGAGGTCAGCAGTTCCAACCCACCACCAGTCTCTTTGGGAGAAAGGTGTGGTGGTCTGCTTCCATAAAGATTATACCTTGGGAATTCTGTGGGGAAGTTCTACTCTGTCTTATAGGGTTGCTATGAATCAGACGTGACTCAATGGCAACAATTTTGGTTTGGTATAGATCTTCCAGAAAAAGAGCTCTGGTGGGAGAATGGTTAAGCACTTGGCTACTAACCAAAACATTGGCTGTTCAAACCTACCAGCCACTCTATGCGGGGTAAAGATCTGGGAATCTGCTCCCATAAAGATTATAGCCTAGGAAACCCTATGGGTCAGTTCTATAGGGTCACTATGAATTGAAATTGACAACACACAACGTCTTTCGGAGACCAGAGACAAAGGCCAAACCAAGTTCTTTGTTCAACCACCTAATACATGAAAAGCCTGCAAATAGGACCTTTATTTATTTATTTATTTATTTTAGTATTTTATAGCAAACATGTATCAATCAATATTCAACTGAAAAAAAAATCTTGTATTAATAAACTGTAGATGTTCACCATCATGTATAAAAATACAATGCTGTACAGTCAAGATTCTTGGCAAGCCCAGCTCCGCAGTCTTGTCTTGTGATGACAGAAACCTATTTTCCTCAGCCCGTCCTTAAGGACCCCTTAGTCACCTCATTAATTACTGCCATTAGTTTCCTGTTGACTGATCCTAATTCTCCAGATTTTATTTAAGTCAAATGTATAGCATCAGTTTAAAGAGAATTAGCTTGAATGAGATTGTGATTTGTTAAAATTTTAGGTAGAGTGGAGTCAATTTTATCTACCACTTTAGCTTCAATTTATTTATGTCACTAGACAAATTATTCTTTAAAAAAGAACATCAGTAGAAACTACATTTAAATTGTTCTTCAAATTATCAAATACCATTGCTCCTTTAGAGATATTTCTCTCTAGATGCACTAGAAGAATTCTAAAATGAATACTATTTAATGGGTATGATTACTTCCAAAACTTTCCAAAACAACTATTGTATATTTGTAGGTGAGTGAAGGTAGCCTGTCATCTTTCACTTTTCCACTTTCTGGATCCAGTACCTCTGAGTCACTGGAAAGTACCTCCAAGAAGAATGCATGTAAGATCGGTTTGATATTTTAAGCATGATTTCTTGTTTCAAATTTTGGCCAACCATACTAATGTTTTTATATTTTAATTTACCTCTGAGCTCTCTTTTCCTCCAGATCATTCCATATCCTATCATAGGTGCAAAAATATGTTAGCAAAAATTCTGAACAACATGAATTTTGTTTGTGCCCCTGGCCACTTTGCCCAGTTGATGCTTACTCTATAAGATGTATCAAACTTAGACTCAGAATTCTTTAATCTTCACTTAGTAAGTAGATTGGTGTTAATTTAATTTTATTTCCCTTCTCTGTTTAATATTAACACCAGTTCATCAGGAGATGCCATTAAGTGAAACCTACTTTTTCCATGAAATTTGCAAAAATTTTGATTGAGAAAATGAATATGATACCCTTGTGCTTTAATTACATGAAATCATGATGCAGAGGGTTTTTTGGCTTGGAGCATTGCTTGAGAGTTGTTCAAATTAAATAAACTAACCATATGGCAATCTCTGTTTTCAATGTGACTAATAGTCTAGAAATTTGGGCACTTGAGTCCATGGATTTCTTTTAATACAGCTATGACTTTATTCCCCTCAGCTGTACACATGTGCCTTTCTATCCAAAGCACATTCTGTCCTTGACTCATTCAAAGTAGATTATATCATTATATAATCAATGTTTGTAATGAGAAGGGAGAAATGGGATGGCATGTTCATTATACCCACTGAAGATATAAAGAGCTCTTATGTAAGACACATCTAATCACGTGTAATAGGAACATTAAACACCCCTTCCCATTTAAAAAAAGGGGGGGAGGGCTCTGATGGCATAGTGGTTAAAGTGCTTAGCTGCTAACTTAAAGGTTAGCAGTTCGAACCAACCAGCCACTCTGTTACAGAAAGATATATCAGTCTATTTCCACAAAGATTACAGCCTTGGAAACCCTATAGGGCAGTTCTACTCTCTCCTATATGGTTGCTATGAGTTGAAATTGACTCTATGGTTTTGGTTCCTTGAAAAAAAAAAAAAAAAAAAAAAGAATCAGGTTCTGCCATTTCATACTACCCAGGTCCAGGAATTGACTAAAATTGTTACGGACATTAAAAAGCTTTAATAATTATATCTTTTTCATCTTCATAGTGGCATCAGAAATCCAGGGAATAAGAACAGTTGAAATAAAAAAGGTAACTTGGGGGGGAAAAAAACAATGTAAACTCTGATGACTTCAGAGAAATCTGTATATGCTTTTCCATATAGTTGGTTTTCTGGTTTAAATGTTCTCATCTGAAAAAATATGTATTGTATATAGTGGAAATAGCACAATGCAGTCCTTGCTGAATTTCCTGGCCATAGTATACTGTTTCAAAAAATCATTGTTCACTATACTGTCTTGTCAAAAATGGTATCAACCTGGCCCTACACTAAATAATGACCTGGCTCTCACTAATAAAACATTTGTCTTCAACAGCTATTTCCATAGTTCCCCTTGAAAATACCATGCACAAGAGGGAAAATAAAAGGAGCTATCATTTACTGAGTCTTTACTCTTAGCTGAACAGTCTTGTAGACCCTTCCTGTCATCATCATTTCATTTAATATTCACTGTAGCCCTCTGTGTAAGGCATTGTTGTCTCTGGTTTATAAATGAAGGTCTAGTGATTCATTGAGCACAGTGGACTTGTACCAGACCCCAGGGTTTTTAAGTGTGGGCTCCTGGCTTTGAATGTAGGTCTACTTGATTTCCAAAACTTGCAGTCTTTTCACTTCATCACTTTACTTTCTTTTCATCAGTACTACACATGATTTTCATTTAGTGTGTTTTGATCTCTTTTATTTCCTGGACAGATGCTTATTTTCCTAAATCCCACTAAGGACTTGTCTCAAAAAATGTAATGCACTTTTCTTGAGCCTCAGTTTCAACCCTCACATCTAGAAGATCAGAACTAATGATACAGTATTGTGCCAAAGAACAAAATGTTCATTAAAACTATCAATTTGACCAAACACTTGTGCTGTGGCAGGGACCTACTGACTCTTTGGGAATCAGCATTGCTGGAGGAGTGGGCAGCCCTCTTGGTGACGTTCCAATATTTATTGCCATGATGCATCCAAATGGAGTTGCAGCTCAGACTCAGAAACTCAGAGTAAGTTGTACTGCTCATTGCAGTTGCCCTAGCAAATGTAGCAACATTTTTCTAAACCCTTTGACTCTGGCCAACTGTTGCAAGATGATGTCTGTTTCTGCTTTTCGGTCAGCTAATCCAGCCACAGCAGGGCTTTCTTTGACTAAAGGATACAGAAAATTAAAAGAAAGGAGAAAATGATATTGTATGCAAATTTGCAATAAATTAAATGGGAACATCAACAGTTGTTTCTTCTTTTTTTTTTTTAAACTGTGGAACAAGTTAAAAACGCGCAAACTGGGTTTTCAAAGCACCAGCATGAATTGTTTACTTTATGTTTTATTAATTTGAATACCAATTCAACTTTATGAAAATGAAAATTATCACTTATGTGGCATTTGATTATAAATTTTACAGAAGTTTAATGTAACTATGACTTACAACATTGCAAAACTTGCTTCAAAATTGATTACTCAAACCTAGAACACTTTGATGGAATTTATGCTAACTGCCTAGCTCTCAAATCATAAGGATATTCATTCAAGTGATTCAGTCTCTCTAAAGTAAAATCTGTATGGCCTCATGCCTCAGACAGGTCCCAGAACAGAACCATATCTTGGTTCAAACAGTCTGAATTGGGAATAGTTCAATTTCTTGATATCTAAATCTGTGGCTGACACTTAAAAACAGATTCTGTACTTAGCACAGGGGTCAGGAGGTAAAGGGCTAGCTAGTAAATCTTTTAGGCTTTGGGAACATATGGGTCTTTGTGACAGCTACTGAACTGTGCTATGCATAGTAGTGTGAAAGCAGCCAAATGAGCATGGTTGTGTTCCAACAAAACCTGATTAACCAAAACAGGCAGTGGGCTGGATTTGGCCTATAGGCTATAGTTTGCCAACTCTTGGCTTAGAGTCACATCTCATGTTTATATTACTGTCCAGAGAAATTCTGGTTTCCAAATGATATAAAATATTTTATTCTTTCAATAGGAAGTAATGTCTTATCCAGAAGAAGTGAAAAGGAAAGAAATTTGACTTTCTGCCCCATCGTTTCCCAGAGACTATGGGACTCAGTCATTATGGGATTCTTGTTTTTATAGCTGCTGCTTTGTCTTAGAATCATTGGTTTCCTTGGTTTTAGTTGATGACAGTAACATACACATGGTATAGAAGGTTATAGGTGGTGTAGAGCATAAATGTGGTCGAGAGAAGGAAATGACTGCTCCACTCTGAATGTTCTGCTCCCATGGCTGTTGTACCAAGTGATTGTTCCTTTCTCAGAGAGCCATTGGTGGATCAGTGGTAGAATTCTTGCCTTCCATGCCAGAGAACTGGGTTCAATTCCTGGTCAGTGTTCCTCAAGCACAGCCACCACCTGTATTTCAGTAGAGGTTTGTGTGTGACAATGATGCTGAACAGGTGTCAGCAGAGCTTCCAGACTAACACAGACTAGGAAGAAATCTCTAGGATTTGCTTCTGAAAGCAGCCAGTGGAAACCCTAAAGGTCACACAGTGGCTCCTTCTGCAAGCAATCATGGGGCTGACACAGGCTGGGGAGCATTTCCTTCCATTGTGCATAGGCTTACTGTTGAGTCCATCACTACTTGACAGCTAACCTTTGTTCTTTCCCTTGCAGGTTGGGGATAGGATTGTCACTATTTGTGGCACATCCACTGAGGGGATGACTCACACCCAAGCAGTGAACTTACTGAAAAATGCCTCTGGCTCCATTGAAATGCAGGTTAAGATTTTTTATCCCAAGCTCTATTCAGAATATGGGTAGCTGAAAAACAAAATAGTTTTGATGTTAGAGCAGGAAAAGTGATTAAAGCTCTTGTTATTATTTTATTTAATATTTCCCTTGAACATCAGTGATTGAATTGACAGTTCCAAGAAAGTACATATGAGACACATTCCTTAGAATTTTCTCTTGATGCATGTACTGTGTCTTACTTATGGAGAGGAAAAAAAAAAAAAAAAAATCCAAGGCCTTAGCAGTAAATGATTGATTGCTGGAGTGTTAAGTGGTACAAGTATATTTTAAAGATATTTAAAAATAATTGCATATGGTACATGCTTTGAAAGCATTGAAGAACTTTATAGAATTGAATTAGAATAGTTTTCCTCTAGTTGGAGACCTCTAGACCTTACAAAATTTCTCTCTTTGGTTGTATTTTATGTTAACAGAAATTATATAGTTGATAATGTACACATTTCATACACATTTCAATCCAAATTCTCTTTCTGAAGAAAAATTGCAGTTGTCTTGTTGCTGCCTGAACATGTGCTTTTCTCTTTGTATTTCTCTTCTGATGCACAGGTGGTCGCTGGAGGAGAGGTGAGTGTGGTCACAGGCCAGCAGCTGGAACCTGCCAGTTCCAGTCTGTCCTTCACAGGACTGGCATCAAGCAGTCTATTTCAGGATGATTTAGGGTGAGTTCATATTTTATGGTTTGTGATGGCTGGCGGTTCAAATCCACCAGCCACTCCTCAGAAGGAAGGTTGGGCAATCCTACTTCTGTAGTGATACTGCCTTGGAAACCCAAGGAGGGGTCGCTATGAGTCGGGGGGCCGACTCGACGGCACATAACAACAACAACAACAACAACAACATACCATTTGTCACTAATAAAAAAGAAACAGATAAACCCTTACAGTTGCACCTCTATCTCATATTCCTAAGTGCTCACATAGAGGTGAAAAATACTGAGCTGAGCTACGAATATGAAAACCAAGTGTTTCTAAACTGTTAAATAATTATGCTGTGGATTTAGGCCATCAAAGATAGATGGTAGAAAGCTAGACAGACGGACAGCTAGATGGTAGATAGATAGAGATGGATAGAAAGGCAGACATGCCTGCCTCTTTACCAGATCTCAGATTCTTTGGGGGACATTTTAGTCTCAGTGTCATCACTCTGTGTGAAATAAAACAAGTCAATCTACCCTTTTAAAAACTCCAATATTGCCAACTCATTTACTAAATCATTCCATTGATTGAAAAAAAAAATCAGTTCCAAAAAACCTGAATGTAAAAGCATTAAAAATATAGAGGAAGAGGAGAAGAGGGGATCACGTTAGAATTTTAAATAATTTGAGGCAACTATTACATTGTTTAAGAATCTCTGGTAACACAGTGTCTAAAGCTTCTGACTGCTAACCAGAAGGTTGGCGGTTCAAACCCACCAGCTACTCTGTGGAAGCAAGATTGGGCAATCTACTTCCATAAAGATTTACTGCCTCAGAAACCCAATGGGGGTTGCTATGAGTCAGAATCTACTTGATGGCAGTGGATTGGTTTTTTCATTATTATTATTACATTGTTTAAGGAGTTCTGGTGGTGTGGTACCTAAGGCATTTGACTGCTAACCAGAAGGCTGGATGTTCAAACCCACCAGTCGTTCCATGGAAGGAAGATGGGGCAATCTATTTCTGTAAAGATTAACCACCTCGGAAGCCCAATGGGGGTTGCTAGGAGTTGGAATTCACTCGATGGCAATGAGTTTAGGTTTTTTTTTTTTTTTTTGTATTACATTGTTTAAAGGATCCATGGAAGTGCAGTGGTTAAGAGCTTGGCTATAACCAGAAGGTCAGTGGTTCAAGTGTACCAGTGGCTCTGCAGGAAAAGGACGTGGCCATTTTCTCCCATAAAAATTACAGCCTTGAATATCCTATGGTGAAGTTTTACATCCCATCGCATCACTGAGTCAGCATTGACTCGATGGTGGTGGCTTGGGTTTTCATATTATAGTTTGTAATTTTTCCCTCAGAGTTTTAGAATACCGACATGTATGACTTACTTCATGTTACTTACTGAACTTTAGCCTCTCACTTTAAATAAACTCTAAAAAAAATGAGTTCTTACATGCAAAGAGAAGATTCTGGGAATATGTTAGTTTATGGAACCTGTAAATGAGTAATAGAATTAGGGTGTTAAGAAAGATTTTATTAAATTATGGGAATATAAAATACTGAACCCAGCATGTATTAACAATTCAAAAATCCCAAAATACCCGATGTACACACTGTCAGCAACACAGAGAATTTTCCTAACTCTAGGTAAATGTTAGATAATCTGTACTTTATAGGTTCACAGATAAATGGATTTAAACAATTCAAGACCTCTTTTTTTTCTTACCTCTGTTGTAGACCTCCTCAGTGCAAGTCTATTACTCTTGACCGAGGCCCAGATGGTTTAGGCTTCAGTATAGTAGGAGGGTATGGCAGCCCTCATGGAGACTTACCCATTTATGTGAAAACTGTGTTTGCCAAGGTAAGCAAGCTTGCACATACTAAGCACTCCCTCCTCCAAACATGAATTAGTGGTGGCCAGCAGGTGGCTTAGTAATTAGTGGCCTGAGGTAATACCAAGTGGTTAACAGTTGATCATTTTCTTTCAGAATTCCTTACAGGAACATGTCATTAAATACTATTGTCTAATTTGAGGTTTAGTTATGTTTAAAGGAAAATAGGTTCAAATTGAAATTTCATGGGAACTCTCAACAATATTCATTGAAATATTAATGAACTTTAGTTAGACAGTGAGACCTGTTTATTTCCTTTTCAAACGAGTTGCACATGCCTGTCTTTTGAAAATGGGACATGGCTGCATTGGACTGCTAAGTTTTCTTTTTCTTAGCTTTTTTTGGTTGAGAAATATAAAATCCATACAGAAAAGTAAATAAAACACATGTGCCAATTACTAATCAGACATTTATTTTACAAATTGAATTAAATAGAAAGAAAACTACTGCCAAAACTTTGAAGATTATCTAGTAGCCCTGTTGCCTACAGTAAATCAATCATTTGCAAACAACTAAGTCAATTAAAAAATCAAAGCTATTTGTATTTTTTTGTAATATATTAGTAAATTGTTGTAATCTTAAGAATGTTTTAAACAAGAATAATGCTATTGCAAAATGCTGCTTGAAGTCATTAAAATAATATAAACCCATATAATTATCTTTAATATATCGTTAATACATTTTTTCAAGAGTCACAAAACTGGACAAAATTTCCTGCAGAAGAAAGTCCCAAACCCCAAAATTTTAAAGTGCAAAGAAGCAAAACTTACACCAAACATAGGAGAAAAATGATTTGAGACAAGGAAGTTACCTATGGAAGTTACATTTTGTTATTTGTTTTAAAAATTGTTATTTTTAGCCATTTTAAAGTGCTGTATGAACAGCTAGCTAGCTGCTGGTTTAATTTTCGAGATTTTTTTTTAAGCCGTTGGTGTGTCCAAAAATATGAACAGCATTTGCCAGGGAATAGAAGAGTCGTGGCGTCCTTTTCCTCAGCTGAGGAACAATTTATTTAAGGCATGCTAGTTAGAACATATTTTAAGAATTTCATCATTATGGATTCCTCATTAACTTTTCCATATTTTTAATCTTATATTTAATTGCACAGTTGCCTACTATAAGCATGCCTTAAGATGGGGCTCTTTTTCAAACAGCAATGTCTGTATTTAATCTAAATCATTTAGGGCCCACAATGAATAGGAAGAGAAACTCTGATGGTATAGTGGTTAAAGCATTGGGCTGCTAACCAAAAGGTCAGTGGTTCAAACCCACCACCGCTCCATGGAAGGAAGGATGGGGCAATCTGTTTCTGTGATGATTTAGACCCTTGGAAACCCAATGGGGGTCTCTGTGAGTTGGAATCAACTTGATGGCAGTGAGTTTGGTTTTTGTTTGGAATGAATAGGAAGGACCCATTTACCCTTGGGAGGTAAAGAACCAAGACAACTTGAGCAGCCTTTTCAAAACCACAGGTTGTGTAAGAAATAGCAGTGGGTTTTACATTCAGGGCCTGAACCTCCTCCTGCCCTTGATAATGTGCAGGTGGGCTATCACTTTGCTTCTGCAAAGGTTTTGTGGGTCACGTGTCCTTGTCCTATTTTCTTCATTCTTGATCCCTCTTTCTTCTTTTTGTAAGTCTTCTTTATAGGACAGACAATTCTGGATTCTGTGGACTCATTCCTACTAGGCAAATTCCCAAATATTCTTTATTAATTTGAGATCCCACCAAGTGCTGTGCTGAAGAGCCAAAAAAAAAAAAAAAAAAAAATCAGAGTAATCTACTGAATGCTGAATTCTCGCTCAAATTGGAATCTCAGTGTTAAAACCATTTCTGAAAACGCCTCCTTTGTGTCTGTCCATCATTGCTTAATGGCTGTGGTGCACCCTTGGAGCACCGGAGCAATGCATGTACTCGCAGAGCAATTTATGTTCTCGTTCAGATCTTGTTCTGTTATGTAGCTGCAACGCAGCATTTTCTGAGATGTAAACAAGCCTGCTTACGATTGCAGGGAGCAGCCTCTGAAGATGGGCGTCTAAAAAGGGGTGATCAGATCATCGCTGTCAATGGGCAGAGTCTGGAAGGGGTAACCCATGAAGAAGCTGTTGCCATCCTTAAGCGGACAAAAGGCACTGTCACTTTGATAGTTCTCTCTTGAATTGCTGTCAGAATGGAGTCCAACCAATACTTCATTTGCATTCTACACTTTAAAGAGAACAGAACCATTCTGTGGACTACTTTTCCCAGGCTGTGTTCATCAGGCTCTTCAAAACTGTAGGGGGAAATATAACATTTAAGTTTGTTTTTTCTCATATGAACATGGTTTTCTTTCAGTCTAGTGTCTTTTTTCCTTTCTTTATGTTTTCTGTGAAGCTAAGCTCAAAGAAAAGAAATATTTGCAAAGGTAAATCTGGTCATGTTTGGGACGATATCTGACATTTGAAGTCAAATGGGCAAAAACTATTATGTGCTAAACTGATGAGTACAGAAAGAAAAATAATTGTAAATCTAACCCAATAGAATTGACTTCAGCTAATTAAGGTAAAAAATGAAAAATATGAGAAAGAAAATCATAGAGTTTTACAAAAATACCTGATTTCGTGCATCCATCTCCTCTTTCCATCTCAAACAAGAAAAAAAAACTTAATTCTTTTGAAAGACTTAACAAAATATTCTCATTATTTAAAACATTTGAATATCATAAAAAAGTTCATCTCCTCACCTCTAATATACACATATATTTTTTTCTGCTAACGTCTTGATGAGGCAGGAGCCGACTTGACGGCAGCTAACAACACAAAATCCGTTTCTGAAATTACAAGTAAACAACAAATATATGACTCTGTGATCCCAAGTTTTATAAAGAAAATGTATTGAATAGTCATCTGAATGTTCATTTTCATTTTTGACCTGTTCTAAAAGATGTTTGTCTTGCTGTAAGTGAAAAACAATGATGCTATCCTGTGTTGATGGCAGTTTCTCTAGAAAGCAGCTCTATAAACCATGGAAGAACATGGAAGAATCCCAGAATCTTTTAGTGCTGGTTTTAACAACTGATGGAACACTAAAAATACATTAGTGCGCTGTGCAGTTGGTTTCCAGTTCGTATTAATCTTAATGACAGAGAAAAAAGCATTGTGTTAGTAATTCTGTTGGTCGTATGCCATTAGTAAATTGATAGAAAAATTAAGGGATTAACATAACTTCATTTCATTGCCTTATATTAACATCTTATAATACAATAGTTTAAGACTAAGGGAAACAGATGGAGCTGTTTATTGAGACAACTGGTAAGGAATTATCATGTGTTCTTTCCCATTTTAGAGCGTGAAACTCCTACATTAGAATATATAAAGTCATTTTAAATATTATCTATATTTGTAACAGAAGTAGTGTACAGATATTTTATTACAGCGTTTTTGTGTAAATGCAGAATTAAAGTGAATAAATAAGAAGTTTCAGTCGTGCACAAATAAAGAAGCAGGCATTTGTGTGTGTGTGTTCTTTTTATTGAGGAATAGCTTTATTATATTGTTCAAGATTTACAATTAAAATTGGTTTTTATCGTGTCTGACTGAACATATGTTGTCTATAGTTACTATTAGAGGAACTCTGGATAACATCATGAAAACCCCAATGTATTCTATGTCCAGATTTTTTTCGAACACTAAAGATTCATAGACTTTTCCTAGAGCAGAGAAAAGTAACATTGTAGGAAGAGAAGTGTCCTACCTGTACGTGTTTGTCAGAAGTTCCATTAATGCAGAAATAGTACGGGTTGTTGTTTTAGGGTTGTCAAGAGTTAAAAGTATACTCAGATGAAAAATGAAAATTACTTATATTAATAAGCATGAAAAGTATGATTTGCGCTCTTGAGCAAGGAATTGGGAAATCTTTGTTCTATTTGTGCCACTAATTAGCTAATGAACATGAACAGTCCCACAGTCTCATCTGTAAAATCGTAGGTCATTTTATCTCAAAGCTTTTATGTAGTTGTAAAATATAAGAATTCTGTGATTCTTAGTTAGCATCTTACAAAACTTCCGAAATGTGCTCCCCAGCCAATTATTGTAAAATCCGGTACTTAATCATTACATCAGGTACTTAATTACATCATTAAGTACCGGATTTTACAATAATTGGCTGAGGAGCATATTTAGAATTTTTGCAAGATGCAGTTTTTGATCATTCACTCTGTATAAGTAAGAATCATAAAACCAAACCAAACCAAAGTCACTGCCGTCGAGTCAGACCTGACTCATAGCGCCCCCTCCTTGGGTTTCTGAGGCAGAATCAGGACAGAAGTAGATTGCCCAACCTTCCTTCCAAGGAGTGGCTGGTGGGTTTGAACTGATAGCCTCCTGCTTAGCAGTCATATGCTTTAGGCACTATACCACCAGAGCTCCCTGTAGGTTCAATATGATTGCTTGTTTGATTAAATCAAACTGGAGAATACTTTACATCCCTGGTGTTCTTCCTCACCCCTACAAAAAATAATAATATTTAAATGTTCAATTCAATACCGACTAATGTGTAGTAATGAAGTATAGCAAGTCAGTAGAGTCCATCGAGCAGAGCAGTGATGAAGTTGGAAACATAAAAAGAAGAGTAAAATTAATGAAAGATAAGAAAAAGAGAGATTTTAAAGATAAAGCAGATTTTGATAGATATGAAGAAGCAGTGAGCGCATCCCAATCCTGAGGTACACTGTATTGCATTGCCTTTGATCTTGTTGGCCAGTTTATCCTCTGTGAATGTCTGTGCACAGTGCTTTAGTGCCCCTCTTCAGATCTCGGAGTGGAGAAGTTGAAAGGATGCCTGCAGGGAGACAAGAGTAAATAGGCCTTTTCTTTTTTGGTCTAGGTGTGGGAATGCCAAAGCTATCATCACCTGCTTTCAGCAGTCCCCGTGTGCTGTTTCATGTCAGTGATAAGTATTCTGGAATGAATGTGATTTGTGAAAAGATGTTCCTCGACTTTGTCTCCTGGGACTTGATGTTTAACTTTGCCCTTTTCTAAAGGGAGTCATTTGTAAGGCAAAATTGGCCTCCGTTACCTCTATGTTGTTGTTGTTGTTGTTATGTGCCGTCGAGTCAGCCCTGACTCATAGCTACCCCTCCTTGGGTTTCCGAGGCAGTATCACTACGGAAGTAGGATTGCCCAACCTTCCTTCCGAGGCCGTTACCTCTATAGAGGGAAAAAAAATTGTTGGCATCATGAGAATTTCTAAATGAAAACTAGTGGAAGCATATGTTCTTAAAGTGATTTTTATGTTTCATTTTGCAGTATATTTCCCCCTTCAAAATTCAGATATTCCATATTGTTTATTTTAATGTAAATTAGAAAAAAATGTATATTATTTAAGAATTCAAAGATCAATTTTAGTCGTGTACTAAAGTTTCCATAGTTGTTGTTGTTATGTGCCGTCGAGTTGGACCCAACTCATAGCGACCCCTCCTTGGGTTTCCGAGGTGGTATCACTATGGAAGTAGATTGCCCAACCTTCCTTCCGAGGAGTGGTTGGTGGGTTTGAACCGCCACCTGTCTGGTTAGCAGTCAAGTCCCTTAGGCACTAGCTACCAGAGCTCCCAAAGTTTCAATAGGAGATCTTTGAAAGGAATTCTGCCAAAGAGGGAGGCAGATCTATAGAAAGGATCTCAGAATTGTCCCTCTGTAAATGTGTTTCTGGACGTTTCCAAAATGTAGTACCATCAAAAGACTGCCTTAGGCAACTGCTAAGAGGGAGCTTCAACTTGTTCAGTCTGCATTGAACACCCTTGTGTTGTGCCATTTGTGAATACTTTGTGATCCAGTCTTCTCCTGCCCCCACCAGCCTCTTCTTCTTACTTCCATATTTTCAGAAACAACTAAGATTATCTTCAAAAATATACTTGTATTCTTCTTTTTCTTATTGATGTACTAGAAACTACGATTTTTCATCTGAGTCTACCTTGAAATATTTGACATTCAAAGTCCACGCCTATAAACTTCATTTTTCTTAAGGTATTTTACCCCATTCAGTAAAACGTACAAATTTATTTGCTTCTGCTTGGGAAAATCAAATGAAATACTGTATATAAGGCACTGTAACACTATGCAGAGTAAGCTATCAAGAAATGGTAGTCGTTGCTGTACATGCAATATCCTAGAAGACAGAGTAATGCAAAGAGTTTCTTCAGCCTTAAATTTTCATTTGTGTGTAATTGTATGCCTTTTCCTTCTGAGATTAGATTCAAATAAAAGTTATACTCATTTTTCTCAAATTTCAGTCGTTTTGCATACAACCTTCATGACGTTTCCCATATCCTCATATAACTGTACTCTAATTACTGAATATTTTTCTTTAGACTAATTTTTAACTTATCAGTGCATAGAAGAGGAACTATCTAAGAAGTTTAAATAGACAATCAGTGTTATTTGCCATAAATATAAAGTAACTAGTGGCGTAGTGAATAAGGCATTTGGCTGCTAACTAGTAGGTTAGAGGTTCAAAGCCCCCAAGTGCTCCACAGAAGGATGATGGGGTGATCTACTTCCGTAAAGATTTACAGCCTCAGAAACCTGATTGGGGTTGCTATGAGACAGAATTGACTCGATGGTTTGTCTGGTTTGTTTTTTCATAAAGCAACTATGAAGGAAAGCCAAGTTATTAAATTCTATCAAGATACTAATGCTTAAAATGTATTTTTAAAAAGATACTAATCCCTACCAAGGACCAGAGCTTGAGGCCTGCTCTCTTTGTTAGGGAGTCCCTGGGGATCCAGTTAAGTGGTGAACTGCTAATTGAAAGGGTGGCAGTTTGAACCCACCCAGAGGGGCCTGGGAAGACAGGCCTAGCAATCTGCTTCTGAAAGGCCACAGCCTTGAAACCCCTATGGAGTAGTTCTGCTCCGCACACATGAGGTCGCCTTGAGTTGAAACAAGAACAACACTTTGTTGTAAATGGAGAATTGTTAAGTGTTACAGCAGTGTCAAGACTCAAAAGACTGGTTCCTTGACTTAAAGGAACGATAATACTGAAAATACCTTTCTCATTGTGTGATTCAAGATATTCTAGTGACTTGTCATAGTGCCACCTAAATAAAACAATGATCTTACAATATATCCCCTTTTTGGAAAAAGGAAGGAGCTCTGGTGGTGTGGTGCCAGAAGGTTGGCAGTTCAAACCCACCAGCCACTCCAGGGAAGGGAAGACTGGGCAATCTACTTCGGTAAAGATTTATAGCCTTGGAAACCCAATGGGGATCGCTATGAGTCAGTATTGACTTGAT